ATGTTCGTTGCATCGATGACATTGTCTAACCATCTCATCCTTTGCCATCCCCGTCTTCTTTGGCCTTCAATCTTTCCCAGCATCAGGGTCTTTTCCAGTGAGTGCTCCCTTCTCATTTGGTGGCCAAAGTATTTGAGCTTCAGTTTCATTATCTGGCCTTCCAGGGAACAGTCAGGGTTGATTTCTTTTAGGATTGACTGATTTGATCTTCTTGCAGTCCAAGGGACTCTCAAGAGTCTTCTCCAGCACCATAGTTCAAAAGAATCTATTCTTCGGCGCTCGGCCTTCCTTACAGTCCAACTCTCGCAGCCATACATGACTACTGGGAATACCATTGCTTTGACCATACGGACTTTTGTTGGCAGGGTGATGTCTCTACTTTTTATTATGCTGTCAAGATTTGCCATCACTTTCCTCTCAAGGAGCAGGCGTCTTTTAATTTCATGGCTGCAATCACCATCTGCAGTGATCTTGGATCCCAGGAACATGAAGTCTGTCACTGCTTCCACAACTTCTCCTTCTATTTGCCAAGGACTGATGGGGCTGGATGCCATGATCTTAGTTTTTTTGATGTTGAGTTTCAAGCCAACATTTGCGCTTTCCTCTTTTACTCTGAGCAAGAGGCTCTTTAGGTCCTCTTCACTTTCTGCCATTAGAGTAGTATTGTCTGCATATCTGAGGTTGTTGATGTTTTTCCCAGCAATCTTAATTCTGGCTTCTGAATCTTCCAGACTGGAATTTCACATAATGTATTCTGCATATAAATTAAATAGGCAAGGGGACAATATACATCCTTGTCGTACTCCTTTTCTGATGCTAAACCAATCAGTTGCTCCATATCCTGTTCTGTCACTTCTTGACCCTTATACAGGTTTCTCAAGAGACATGTGAGGTGGTCTGGTACTCCCATCTCTTTAAGGACTTGCCATAGTTTGTTGTGATCCACACAATCAAAGGCTTTAGCATAGTCAATGAAGCAAAAGTAGATCTTTTTCTGGTACTCTCTTGCTTTCTCCATAATCCAGCGAATGTTGCCAATTTGATCTCTAGTTCCTCTACTTCTTCGAAACCCAGCTTGTACTTGTAATTCGTCCATTCCTGTCCACTTTAGTTCACTGATTCCCAAGATGTCGATGTTCAGTCTTGCCATCTCATTTTTGACCATGTCAAGCTTACCTTGATTCATAGATCTTACTTTCCAGGTTCCTATGCAGTATTGTTCTTTGCAGCATCGGACTTTCCTTTCACCATCAGACACATCCACAACTGAGCGTCCTTTCGGCTTTGGCCCAGCCACTTCACTCTTTCTGTGGTTACTTGTACTTGCCCTCTGCTCTTTCCCAGTAGCATATTGGACACCTTCCGACCTGTGGGGCTCATCTTCTGGTGTCATGTCTTGTAGCCTTTTGTTACTGTCCATGGGGTTTTCTTGGCAAAGATATTGGAGTGGGTTGCCGTTTACTTCTCCAGTGGATCACACTTGGTCTGAGTTCTCTGCTGTGCCCTGTCCATCTTGGGTGGCCCTCCATGGCATAGCCCACAGCCTCATTGAACCACGTAAGCCCCCTTGCCACGTCAAGACAGTGATCCATGAGGGAGGTATGGAGTATACTAGGGCAGTAAAGAAGATGAGGGAGATCTAAGGAAAGGAGAGCTTGGGATGATTTATTTTCCAGCAGTGACTGTTATTCTGGTAAGTAAGGTTTGAGTGATCATAGGAACAATCACCTCTGAAGCATCCTTGGTCACAGATAATGGGTGATTGAAATGTATTGAATCAATTCTAGAAACATATTTCAATTTAAGATGGACTCTTCTGTCAAACCAAACCATGGAATGTCACTGACATCAGTGTGGCATCAGCATAGCTAGTGGACATCTTATGCTCTCTTTCTTTCTTTTTTTTGAGATAATTTTTTTTATTTTATAACAGCAAACATAAACAAACAACATACACAAACACACAAAGCAAACACAAAATGGGAGAATCTCTCCATTGTTTTGAATAGACTGTTTTGTTATCCAAACAGCTCTCATTATAAAAAAAAATCTCTGCACCTTATATTACAGAACATAGCTTTGCACATTTTATCATTAATGTTCTTATTGTCCTCTGTTTTGGTTATAATCATGTTTCATTTGTTATATTCTTCAATCCACTTGTAAAGTCTTGACCATGTTTCTTCAAAAATTTTCTCTTTATGCCCTTTCAAAATTAAAGTTAATTTGTCCATTTCAGCAGTTTCTAGTATTTATTTATTATTCCTTCTTTTGAAGGTGTCTCCTTTTTTCTTCAGTATTTAGCATACAATATTCTAGCAGTTGTAACTACATGTAAAACAAGATAAGAGTCTTGTTTTTTACAGTTTTGTGGAAGTATATTAAATAAAAAGAGTTCTGGTACAAAAGGTACATTGCTTTTAAAGATTTATTTTTGCAATATTTTGTGTATCCAAGCCCCATTTTTTTTTACTTTTATCACAAGACCACCACATTTGAAAAAAGGAACCAACATTTTTTGACATTTCCAACACTCATTCGACATGTTGGGGTAACATTTGGATAACTTATCTGGTGTAATGTACTATCTATAAAACATTTTATAAATATTTTCTTTGTAAGAGATTGCTTTAGTAATTTTTATATTTGTTTTCCATATCTTGGACCATTGGTCTAAATCAATATTATACCCCAAATTTTGTACCCATTTAACCATAGAAGATTTCACCACTTCATCTTGTGTTTTAATTTCTAACATTATAACATACAATTTCTTAATAAGCTTATCAAATGTATAAATCAATATTTTATCTATTACAATTGGCTTTTCATAAAAATCCATTTGCTTATCTTTAACAAATCTAGATTCTAATTTTGCTCTTTCCCACCAACTCAAATCTATATCTTTTTAAAAGGTTCTCTATTGTCTTTAGTTGATTTTTATTATCCAGCAAGTCTTCATATCTGTGCAATAAATTTTTGGAGTAAATTTGGATTTGTAAAAGCTTCGAGTGGTGAGACCCATTTTGGTATCTTGGTATAGAAAAGTATTTCAGTTTCTTCCCAAATTTTCCACAAGAAAGGGAGGCCGGAAAACACCACTTATAAATCCAAAATATCAGAAAAAAAATCTTAATTGTAATCCAAACAGATAAATCCCAGGTATCCAAGTTACAAAAGGAAAGAGAATAAAATTCAAATACAGTAAATATTGTATAAATACAATCCAATGGAAATTCTTGAGAAATCCACCCCCCCCAAAAAAAAAAATTATCCACCCAAACTGAGGAGAAGAGGAAGGGAGTAGGAGTTCTTATATCAAATATACTAGTCCATGCCAACCAAGGAAAAAACAAAGAGGGTTCACTTTTTAAAGTTATTTATAATTGTTATAATCCACTGCACAGGAGTGCCCAGGAACACCATTAATACCCATCAATCATAGTGGGACATGCCAGTGATGCCTCCACATTATCCAGCTATGGAAACAGCTAGCTAATGTATTCTAATGCCCTGGCATCACTTGGCCCCTAGCCACTTACAGAAGAGGGGAGCAACCAAGCACCCTCCAGTGCGCAAAGGACTTCAGTACATCCAGTAACATGTCTTATGCCTACCAAACTCCTGGAGACTCTGCAAATGCAGGTCTGAATAGCATGGGGAGGGGGATTTCATTTTTGGAAATTCGCTTCTTTAGATACAGCCATTGATCCCTCCAAACCAACAGATTATTGGAGTTCAGGGACAAATTAGGTCAATAAGAATTATTCTCTTTTTTCTCTTTTAAAAGACAGCTTTGTCTTTCATTTCTCTTTGAATAGAAATCAGTGCACCTTTTTCTAATTTCAGCCCTTGCAAGGTTTCATTGTTTGTGTGTTTTTATTTTTCTGAAGTTGCACATCTCAAGGTGGTGCCCTAACAGGAAGGATAGGAAGGTTTGGGAAGACATTGCCTGCTTTTGAGCATCTACAGAGGTCCCAGTCACACGGAGGGTTTTGGCCTGGTAGAGGGATGGATCGAGGACACAGCAAACGGGCGCGATCTCACCGCAACATATGGGAAGCGACATGCACCCATCCCCGATCTGCCCCTACCCCCAAAAACCCGCAGCAAAAAAGAACCACCGACAGAGGTGGTCTTACCTGAAGGGCCAAGGCAAGCGCGGCCATGGGATCACCGGCATGTCCTTCTACCGGCGCATCCCCGGCTCCTGGCCGAACTGCACATGCGCAGCTGGCTGCCTCGGTCTCTGACCGTGGCTTCCTCCCCGGCATCTGATCATGCCGGGGAGCAACGGCGCCATGGCTCAGGGGATCTATGTGATCCCGCTGTGGCGTGTCTATTTTGGTGCGGCTTCCAAAAGCCGCACTTTGGCCATGCATTTCCTCCCCCTTGTGGCAGGGGCCAGAGTTCAGTTCTGAAACTTTGCACAACTTCTCTTCCTGCCCCCCCCCTTGAATTTCCCTTTGATAAAATTGGAATTGATTAGAAACTGATTCCAAACTTGATATAAGGACATGTTGTTTTGTAGTACAATTAGCATCTCAGATGGATTATTATTATTATTATTATCATCATCCCACGTGCTTGTATTTTGAGCCATAAAATATAAACATGTCTTTCTTTTTCAGCTCACAGTTGTAAGCAGCCAGAATCTCCAGCTCATGTGAATGTTGAAGGAATGGATCTTCCCTCCCTTGGCTATACTCTGATATATACCTGCCAACCAGGGTATTTCTTAGCAGGAGGATCGGAACACAGAGTCTGCAGATCTGATGGCACTTGGACAGGGAAGGTTCCTGTTTGTGAAGGTAAACCTCTTGCCTTCCCTACTTGCTTTCTTAAGGCAGAATTTTGATTAGAAGAGATGTGGAGACAAAGCTGATTTGTGTTTCTTTCTGCTCGCTCTTTCTCATACATGTGTAATACCTATAACAACATAATGCATTATATGATACTATCATACTGTGCAGCTGCCTGCCGCAGCTATGCCAGAGGCATTGCTGCAATTCTTTTCTGCCCTACCGCCAGCTGTTTTGATATATTTTTAATGGGTCTGTTAAGTAGGTTTGCTGTATTACAGAGACTGACTGTGAGTTATTGAGCATCATGGCTTAAATGGGATTTTAACCCTAGACTCTATGCTCTATATTGGTGGCTATATATTAGAGGTCCCTTTGGGGGAAGGGCTGCAGTTCAGTTGTAGAGCATCTCCTTGACATGCAGAAGGTCCCAGGTTCAATCCCCAGCATCTCTAGCTAAAAGAATCAGGTGGAAGGTTCTGAGTCATTGGAGAGCGGTTGCCAGTCTGAGAGTTCACATGAAGCTGCCATCTACTGAGTCAGACCTTTGGGCTATCAAGGCCAATAGTGTGTACACTGACTGGCAGCAGCTCTCTCGTGTTTTTGGTGGAGGGCTTTCACATCACCACCTACCAGATCCTTTTAAACTAGAGATGCAGGGATTGACTTTGGACCTTCTGCTTGCAAAGCAGATGCTCTGAGCCACGGACCTCCCGAGTCCATCTAGTCCAGACATTCCATCTAGTATACCACGCAGATTCTCATGATAAAGTCTCTCAAGAAATTTAATGTCCAGCATTATTTACTAGATGCAGTTTACACCTAATACTGTATCCTTTAAAAAAATCTGGAAATGAAGAGTGAACAGAGACAAACCTCTTTGTTTTCTCTCTCTGTTGTTTCTGCTTCTCTACAGGTACCCCTACCCGGGCATTGGACTGGTTTTTTGTTTTGTAAACTTTGGCATTTGTGAAGTAAATTAATTGGCAAGCTGGTAGCAAAAGAGAAAGGCCTTACTTATATTCAATTGCCCAAGACATTATCAAGGAGGGCCAGCTTTCAAAAAGTCGTCTCTGACAGAGCCTTTTTTTGATCTTATTGATACATACTGAAAACCTGTAAAAGCTTTCAGAAGGAAATGTTGTTAGGAGAAAAAGCAGTGTGTTCCCTTGTTCTCTCTTGTTGCGGATGAAAATAGTTTTCACAGAAAAAAAATGATTGTAAAGAAATAGAGAATTACATTGCTTTCATCTGTCTCATAGTGATTCAAGTTACAAAAGACAGCTCAATAATAAGGATCCATACAGCAGCTATAAAGTTAGTTGGCCAATGATACACAAACTTCTTTTCCATTTTATAGATTCATTTATTTCCTGAAGTGTGTAACTTTTGACAGGACTAGCATGTAAGAAATAGTATGACCTAGGTTTGAGGAGGAATGGAGCTGGCGACATTTTCAGAAGTCTCTAAATCTATATTCCTAAACCCCAGGGCTCTAGTCGGGGGGGAGCTCTCAGGTACGGAGCTCCGGAAGAGAACCTCTAGGGGGCGGGGCGGTCACGTGGTGAAGCCCCGCCCCCTTCTTTACCCCGCCCTCTGCTTCGATCCTCATTCCGTTTGGGAATGAGGATGAAGCAGGAGGGTAAGTAGCCGGGCCTTCTGACACACTTCCGGTGATGTCAGGGGGTGTGGCCTTCTGTCACTTCCGGTGATGTCAGGGGGCGTGGCATATGCAAATAAGTTATGCTAATGAGTTATGCTAATGAGCTCCGGCAGCTCTTTTTCTACAACAAGACCCCTGCTAAACCCTAACACTCCGACCTGGGTGACCCAGGCTAGCCTGATTTTGTCAATCTCAGAGAAGCTAGGCAGGATTGGACTTGGTTAGTACTTGGATGGGAGACCACCAGGAAAGTCCAGAGTTGCTATGCAGAGGCAGGCAATGGCAAACTACCTCTGTCTGACTCTTGCCTTTAAAACCTCACGGGGTCATCTTAAGTTGGCTGTGACTTGACAGCCCTTTGCACCCACCAAAGGTATATCAGCTTCCCTGCTGAGGTTTTCCTGCAAAAGGAATCCGGTAATTCTAAATGATTTTACACTGATTTCACACAACTATGATTCCTAGGATACCTTGGAAACAGCTGTAAAAAAGTATAACTCCCAACTCATTTTTTGTGATGAGGCAGGATTGGACTTGGTTAGTACTTGGATGGGAGACCACCAGGAAAGTCCAGAGTTGCTATGCAGAGGCAGGCAATGGCAAACTACCTCTATCTGACTCTTGCCTTTAAAACCTCACGGGGTCATCTTAAGTTGGCTGTGACTTGACAGCCCTTTGCACCCACCAAAGGTATATCAGCTTCCCTGCTGAGGTTTTCCTGCAAAAGGAATCCGGTAATTCTAAATGATTTTACACTGATTTCACACAACGATGATTCCTAGGATACCGTGGAAACAGCTGTAGAAAAGTATAACTCCCAGCTCATTTTTTGTGATGTCTGAAGGTCAGTAGTTCAGCAGTTCAAGACCCGAGTGCTGCATGACGGAGTGAGCTCCTGTCTCTGGTCCCAGCTCCTGCCAACCTAGCAGTTCGAGAGCAAGAAATTGCAAGTAGATAAATAGGTACCACTTCGGTGGAAGGGTAACAGCATTCGGTGTGCCTCGGCATTTAGTCATGCCAGCCACATGACCACGGAAATATTTTTGGATAGCGCTGGCTCTTCGGCTTGGAAATAAAGATGAGCACCGCATCCCTAGAGTCAGATTTGACTGGCTTTGGAGCAAGGGAAACCTTTACCTTTACCTAGGGGGAAAAAGGGCCTTTAGTCCAATTTTGGTTCATTAAATCAGTGGAAATTGTACTGTTCTCTTTAGTCCAATTGAGACCGAACCAATGCAACATAACAAATCCACCAAGATAACGTGAAGGAGTCCAAAATTACCATCTACCCAAATGGAAATAGAACATTTTTTGCAATCCAGCCCAAATGCCTTTTAATATCAGGGAGTCTCAAGCCGTTAACGATAGGATGTTTTGGAGGGTTGCCATGGGTTGGAACTGACTTGTTGGGACTTAATACACACACAAATAAGCCATTCTGATATTTCCCTGTTTACTTGCCTTTCTTCAAATGGGGCAATGGTGTGAAAGGGGTGTGTGAAACTTTCACAACAAATTAGAAAACCAGAATAAGTTTATTCAGTAGAGAACTTAGCACAGACTAGAAGGATTTCAAAATAAAAAAGGCTTATGGCTCTTGGCCCTAACTAAACATTAGAGATATGCATAATTACCAACTTCAGGAATCCATAGTCCAAGATTGTCCATTGTGATAAAGTCCAATTAGGTCTCATCTTTGTGCAAGCATACAGCCATGTGCTCAGCTCCTAAGCAGTTCTTTGTCTCTGCCATAGATCACATGGCAGCACACCATCTCAGATGGACAGCAGACAGAGCAGCAGAGATAACAGGAAGAGAAGACAGAGTTCTCTCCATAGGGTTTGACCAGTACATCTGAATGATCAGAGCTCTGAAGGGCGCACCTGCAGTCATGTGCTCCCCAAATTCCAACCCACCCATGGCCCATGTGACTGTTTGCTTGTTTGCTAGGCCATCTGGTCTTCTGCCAGCATGGAAGTGTGAAGGATGTAGGGTTATATGGCAGGCTATTGAGGCCATATGGCTTCAATAGGAAATCAACACAGCAGGGTATCAGCAAGAGGCATTCCAGGGGAGACATGAAACCTATAGAAATCAATTTTTCTATACAATTACCCAGATGTCTTTGTGTTGGAAAAGCAAGCTCACACTAACTCAGCTTAGAGGGAACACTGGACCTAACAAACTACATTACCCAGATGTCTTTGTGTTGGAAAAGCTTTCCAGCATAGAGAGTATCCCTCTTCATCATGTGCCTCTTCATTGTAGCAGCTGGAAGGTAACTCTAAAGGCAAAGCTGGGGAGAAAGGAAACCAGCTATAGAGAAAGTTGGGGCCTGGCTGTGCTGACAGGGAAATATTTATTCCAAATACTTGTTCCAAACTCAATCTCCCCCCCGCCCTGTAATATTTTTCCTGAAAATGCTCTGGAAAATCCACAGAAAGAATAAGACCATTCTCATTCAAGATCGGGGAAGGGAGTTATCTCTAGTTCTTAAAGTGCAGTCCTATTCAGAGTTATTCTAATGTAAATTCATTAACATTAGAGAGAGTTTACACTGGACAAACTCTGCATAGGATTGCACTGTTAAGGCATAATTCAAGATAATTCCATCTTTAATTAATGGTATCAAGTATAGGTGTCACTGTGCATGTAATACTTGTGCTTGTATGTTATGTAGAAGATCAAAATGCTTTTGTTGAAGTATCACTGCTCATTTGTTGACATTACTTATATCAACAGCTGGTTCCAAAATATTGGTGAAAGACCCTAGACCAGCTTTGGGAACACCCAGTCCCAAATTAAATGGTGAGTACATTGAGTTCATAAACTTATGATAATAGTTAAAAGAAACAAAAACGCCAAGATTCCAAATCTCTTCTTGTTAGTACAAAAAGAAAAAGAGTTCTCAGAAATCTACAAAAGTCCACAGACATGGAACTATGAAGATGATGTTAAACTGAGATATGTGATAAAATAGAGTAAAAAAAAAGGCAATAAGCATCTGGAATCATACGATGTATCTTATATCACTAGTTACTCATTTCTCATTAAATCCACTAGGGTACCCTTTAGGATCAAATTGCAAAAATTAATTGACAACGTCGAAGATATGAATACCCAGGAACTGGGGAAACACAGCAGTGTGGAAGAAATGTTAAGGAAGTACTATGGCAGAAAATCTAAATTAGTCAAAATTATGTATCTTAATTGAAAGAGCCAACAGGCTACTAAAGTAAATTAGTTTCATTGACAAAAAACTTTTATGCTAAATGAAACAAAATACATCAACTGGATCAACGGTACATATTGATCTGGCTAATATAGTATAATGATGTTCTCGACATCAGAGTACAATGTAGTAGCAGATTCTTCTACCCAGCTTCATTGAAATGAATGGGAAGCAACATAAGAACATAGAAGAAGCCAAGAACCACCCTTCTGAATTTTGGTCTAAAAGGTTGTTAGCCTTTCATTCTGGGGATATTGCCTGTGATACCTCCAATAACATGTGAACAGTTTTGTTTTATAGGTTTTTTAATTATAAGCTGCCATTATATATATAAAACATTAAATAAGTAAGTTAATAGCAAGTTGTAAGCATGTTATGAAGACTGTATGAATATGGTCACTATTTGGTTGCGGTCACACATGCCAGTTGAAATGGAGGGGAAGCAAGGCTAGTCCCTCCGGAGGAATTTGACCCACAGTTGTGAGATCCCACAGCCCTTTGTAGCTGTGGGCTCATCCCGTCACTGTGCGATGAGATGCAACTGCGTGTGAGTCAGGGTTTTTTGTCATTTGTTTCCCATGCACATAAATGAGGAATTGCACCTCAGCACCGAGGGCCCCCTATGGGTATGCGATGATGCGCATACTGCGAAGGGGGGGAATGGCACTGAGCCAAGAGGACCTGATCAGACCATCCCAATGGCATGCATGCGTGCTTGTGCAATCAGACAGGGAAAGTCCATCTGTGGCCTGTCAGAACCCATTTACTACTGGAATTTTCCAGTGTCTTTTTACTCTGCTTCTGCAGTGGAGTAGCATGGGTTGCCAATGACTGCGGGATGCTTCCCAGATGTTGTTGTCTGATCATGCCCTCTAGATCCGTCAGGCATTTGCACCTATGTCAGATCTACTGGTGTGTGTGATCACAGCCTTTCTGTATTTTCTGCCATTGCATTCAAGGCAGTTTGCATTTCAAAATAATTCTATACACACAAGAAGTATAGAAATGTTCTGAAATAGAGAGGGAATAGGAAAACAATCATATTCAGTTTCCAGTTCTTAGATAATTTTTTACACAATAACCAGGTGGTATGGGCCACTGCAGGAAAAAAGTTCTTGGAGGGCAGGAGTCAAGTAGTTCCAGCTAGGTCAGTGGAAGGGACCTCACTGTCTCATCTCCCTCTGACACAGCCAGGAAGAGGGAATCATGTTCTGTATTACTGCTGGAAATGTGCTTGTTCAACCTCCAAGGAAAATTAGCAATTCAAAGAATATGGCAGTTGTTGCAGCTAAATGACTTCTAGCAAGAATGTGAGAATCAGTTCAAATAAATCCTTCACTCCCCGTGGCTAGGAGCTTATTCTTTGAGTAAGGAAAATATTTAAAATTAAAAGAAATTAGGCAAATTATGCATGTCAGATGGTGGATGTTTGTAGCTTAGTATGGGAAAAATAGAGAAAACTTGTTTCAGTCTCACTTGTGATTGTCACATACTATGGTATTTATATGTGTGCTGTTGCTTGTTTAAATTGGAAAGAAATTGAAGCATCAGTTTCAAAAAGTCTCAACTTCTGCTTACTTGGGGAATGATGTATGATGCAACAAGCTTATAAGGGTCTGGGTTTGTCCAACCAAATGGGAGGGAGGGACAGACAGACAGAGATACATGATAGGGAAGGGGTGAGAACACCATTCAACTTCTCTTTTGTACCCTTTGGAGATGCCAGAGCACCTGCTTTCTGGGTCACTGAAGAAGTACAAAGTTGATGCCAGCAATAGCAGGGCTGGAGGATCCTTAACCTACCCCTTCCTAATCATCCTCATTTACACCCCTCCACCACCACCACCCACACACACACACCATTGCTTTTACATGTATTTTTAAGTGTGCCAACCTAGAGAGTCTCATTTGAGGGGGAAATGCCCTTGGGGGAACATTTACAGAAGACATTTGGTGGGTATGGAAAAGGATAATCTTTCCTTCTTGCACATCTGTCATCTTTAAAGGCCACCTCTCCCACTGCACATGTGCTGAAATGACATGCAGTTCTGCCCCGAAGAGCTAGGAAGTAAACAGATTTTGTTACACACGTGGAGCCAGATTGACCTGGAAGCAGAACTGAATCAGAATTGGGAAGAAATCACAAATTCTAGGCAAGAACCAGACACAAACTTGGGGAACAGACTTCCAGCATATTTCTATTAGTCCATAGTTTTACCTAACCCAGCAAGATTGTTTTGTGTGTGTGTGTTTTAATATGCCCTAAGCCTATATCTATCTGTCACCTTTCAGTACAGTCTATGGTTCTCTCCTGTCAGTAAACGTGGACCTTTCATCAAATGTTGTCAAATGTAGCTCATGATAAAAGTTTGCAAGCTTAAACAATGTTGAAAGCAATTAGATTAAGGAAGAAGTTTATTCCTTTTTGCAAATTCTATCCATATGTGCATTTTACACATTTCTGGGGTATGGTTTTGTAATATTATAAGACATAAGGGTGATGTATACAACATAAGGATTATGAATACATTTTTAAGTGTAGCGAAACTCCTTTCTCTTTGTAGTTTCTAGAGAAGCAAAGGAAGATTGATTGAAGTATTAATTTGTCTTCAGGGAGGTTTATAGATTTTAGGGTTGCTTCATGCGTTCACCTAGTACAACAATGAAGATCCATTTGTGGAAGCATTAATTGCCCATGTACCTGCATGTGGTCCAATTCGCCTCTAGATAATTCACATTCAGACCCCAGATTGATGTGAATTAAAAGGGGAGGAAACTGGGAATATATAGGCCAGCTGAATAAGACCTGACCTGAGCCTTTCTACAGATAATGCAAAGCCTGGACCCGGCCAGAGGCGTGAGCCTTTAGCTCAAGCTAAAGAGCAAGAACCAAAGGGCACTTAGCCTTTATCCCTCTGTGTACCATGATGCTGGTGGAAGTGTTTATCAGCTTGGGACATCCTTGCTGCTCATGGTGGGAAAGAGCGGCAGGACTCTGATCTGGAGAGCCAGGTTAATTCCCCATTCCTACTCCACGTGAAGTCAGCTGGGTGACCCTGGTCAGTCACATCTCTCTCAGGGCTCTCTCAGCCCCACCTACCTCACAGACTGTCTGTTGTGAGGAGGGGAAGAGAAAGGAGTTTGTAAGCTGCTCTGAGACTCCAAGTGAAGGGTGGATATAAATCCAATCTCCTCCTCCTCCTCCTCTTCTTCTCTGAGACTTCTCTGCAGAGTTAATTGCTATAGAAAAAAATATCTGGACACTGACATTTGTGAAATGCTGTGTATTTATTCTGTTTGAAAATGTTGAGATTGTTGAGAAACCAATTGGCTTTCTCTAATGCCCTTAGGCACTATTGGCAACAGTTGTTCAAATTCTTTGTGACATTATTACAAGTAAGCCAAAAATTGTCAACAATTTCTGTTATATCTTCTCCCCCCTCTTGGATAATGATACCGAAATCCTTCACCCTTTCTGTCATAATTTGGGCTATGCTGAAAGCAGTGACATAGCACTTTTTGAGGATACTTGCAGCAACAGTGAAAAGTCGTCTTTTCAGCAATTTTGGGGAACTGCAATGAAAAAGTGTTCACTAATGTGTTCGCTTTGGGTCCACATTGGGGACAAAGGCAAGTATAAATGAAATAAATTAATAAATAATAAATCAGAATGGGCTTAATTGATGTTCCCATGCAACCAGTTCAAGAAACAACTGTCCTTTGCTTGTCAAATCTGATTGTGTATGTAGGACAATGATGTCATCGCATTCCATATGTGATCCCTGATTGTCTGCAATCCCGTAGCAAAGAAGAAAGAAGCTCTAACAAAGGGGGGAAATGGTGTGGAAACAATTTGAGGAAAGGTGGCTGCAAACTGGTGTGAAATAGGCAAACATTCTCAAGGAACTTTGAGAATATTTCAGACCCCTCAGAAACACTGCTTTCACTCAAAAATAGGCAACCATTCAGAAAAGCCTTCGTTTTAATTCTAGGCCTCCTCTCCAGATCATCTTGGCTCCACTTGACCATGATTTGAGAGTGTCGAAATATATTTGCTGGAATCCCATCACCTCCCACATCATTTAGATCTCAAAGCAGGACTAATTGTATCAAATGACCAAAAGAGTATCATCAAGTTCCAGAGTTCAAGAATTTTCCTTTTTGCAAGTTGCCAAATATATAAGCTCATAGAACCTTTAAACATTTTTATTTCTATAGCACATTCCTGAGAGGTTGTGAAATCAAATAGCAGCTTATTCACAAGCCACAGTCTCTCTGCAGAAACACAACATGGAAATGCTCCCCCCCCCGCCCTTTCTAGTGGCTCTAGTGTGATCCTGCCTCTCTGCTCAGCCAATAATTTTTAACAGGGCCACATTTCCAAGCAAGGCACAGGCCAGAAGTTCACTAGATTTGGCTCTGCCCTCTGACTCCCATACAAGCTACATTCCTGGCAAAGGAGTTTTGAATCCCCATTCCCAGAGTGTATGAACAGCAACAGAGGCTTTAAGAAGGACTTTTCTTAGAACATCTGATCTGTTACTATCTCCAGTGTCTTGACTCATGCACAGAAGCA